CTCTCTCTCTCTCTCTCTCTCTCTCTCTCTCTCTCTCTCTCTCTCTCTTCCTTTCTTTCTTTCTTTTTTTCTTTCCTTGAAATCCCTGAGAGAGACTAAACACCCTTCAGGATGCCCACCTTTGCCCCACAAGCCCTGATGTCTTGGTGATTGATTTACTTTGGGCCAAATATTTAGAAATTCCTGGAGCGAAGGGTCTTGTGTTTTGTCACTCCCACTGATGCCTGTAGTTCGGGATTTTCCTCCCCTCTCCAGCTGAAAGTTACTAGGTCCTCCCTGAACCCACAAACACCAGAGGCCAGGGAAGGTCCTAAGGCTGAGGGTCATCGGGGGAAAGCGAGCTGGCCCGAGTTCTGTGGAAAAGCTCGCTGCAGTGCCGGGCTCTGGGTGGTCGCGCTGGTAATGCTGTGGAGGCCACTGAGCCTGCTTTGTCCCACTGAGTCACAGCTGCAGTGCAAGGGGTCTTTACAAACAAACCATCACTTTAAAACGTGGAGTGCAGGGCCCTGAGGTAACGAACTGAAAACAGGTGGCCTAATGGAGACACTGACAAGTGGTGGGGAGTGTCTGTGGCCCCGGGGGCTCCACAGGAAGTGGAGGCCGACCTGCCTCCCCACACTATGGCTGACATCAAGCCTCTCTCCAGACAAAAAGAGCGAGAGGGCTTCTCTCAGTCCCTGGGCCCCGGGCTGCCTGCCCCAACCAGACGTCAGGGTGGGGGTAGCAAGAATGTCCTTCCCAGCAGCACAGCCAAGCCTCTCCCACGCGGTCAGCCTCTCTGCATGCAAGCTTCAGCCTGGAAAGGGAAGAAAAGCCTCCTGTCACAGCCTGAGCCAGAAGCAGGAATCTTCTTAAGATGGAGGATGGAAATTTTAACCTTTTCTGCTTCCTGAGCAGGCTGTGAAAAGGAAGGCTGTTCTGAAGGAGGGGGCTCTGGGGCACACTCTGGGGACATGCTGCGCCCGTGACCACGGTGCTCGGGGCAGGGGGTTAGAAGCCCTGACCCTTCTGTACAGGGGAGGCATTCAGGGTCCCGGGTTCCCACAGCACAGTACCAGCTGGCCAGCACCTAGCGGATACCCCAGCTGGGCCGGGTCTGTCCCTCTCCCACGGTGGTGAACAAGGATGTCCTTGGGAGGGCCGCCCAGACTGTAGGGTGCACCCAGCCTGCCGGGCCCTCCTTCCACCACTACTGCGGGGGCCTGGGGACTTAAACAGAAGCCATGTCTGCTAACAGTGGGACTTTGTTTCATGGTCTGGGCCGTGCTTTTTTCTCCTCTCCCTTCATAGAGGTCCAGGGCTACTAAGCTGTGTTTATGTTATTGTTATTTCCAGCTTGGCAAAAATGTAAATGTGAGAGTTCATGCTGACAGGAAATAAATGGTACTTTCTCTTTGGACAGCTGTGGCCTGTCACTCACTGCTCAGACCCAGGAGGACAGCCTGGGGGCGGGGGCAGAGGGGCAGAAGCTGCCCAGCTCTCCGCTCTCTGAAGGGATGTGGGAGGCTGCACACCACATGCACACAGAGGTTAGAAGCGAAGATCCACCTGCCAAGGTCTTGACTCGGAAGCACCTGGAGACTGCAGCCACCTGGGCTCTCCTTCTGGGCCTCTTGTCCGTCCCCAATCCCTAACCTTCCCCACGTGAAGAGTCGTTCCCATCCTGGACCTTTCACGGTAACCACTGGAGTCTTCAGAGCAACAAATCCATCCACCCCACCCATCTAACAAAATACAGTGGTGCCTCGGTTTACAAAGGCATCATTTGCTTGTGTGGAAAAGATCGGTGTGGTCGTATTTGTCACCCAAGATGGAGTTGGCAAATGGAAGCAAAATTTTGCTGAATGCTTTTGGTTTGGGACCAAATTGTTTGCAAACAGAAGCATTCATGACCCGCGGTATTACTATATAGAGATGGCCGAGCTCTGGAGCCAGAAAGGCGGGCGGTGCAGATGTGGAGTGAGGAGGTGCTGGGGAGAGGGGAGGTAAACCCCTAATTATGAGAGGGATGGATACATGGGAACCACAGAAATAACAACCACTAACGAATTAAGAACATATTCAAAGGGGAAGAAGGGAGGGAAGGAAGGGAAAGGGGATTTTAAAAAAAAGAGAGAATGGAAGGGGAAAATATGGAAACAAAGTTTTTATAAATGGGAAGGGCAAGAAGGGTTGAAGAAGGGGAGAAAAATAGGGGGGAAAGAAGCAAAACGTATTATGTACGGGTACAAACGCCCTATGATGAATGTGATCATTATGTATGGCAAATGTTTACTAATAAAAATAAATTTGAAAAAAAGAATTGGTAGCCCACTTAGCGTCTATAATCCTCCCGGTTCTGGGCAGGGTGGCTCACAGCGTCCCAGTGGTACAGAGAGGGTTGAGGAACTTGGCCCAGGCCAAGGGTTGGTAGTGGTAGATCCGAGGTGATAGCCGCAGGCTGCTCCCCAGAGGTGGCCTCGATTTTGGAGGGCTGCACAGAGCAGCCCTGCAGCGCTGCTGGAGCAGGGAGGTCTGCAGGGCCCTGGCTGGTCCTGCGAGTCCAACAGCTGGTCCTGCCATGAGTTTCAGCTACGCTTAGGGAGAGGTCCACCCTGCTCATTCCTGTTCCTCCCCTCCCACTGCCCAGTCACACAGGGTCCCCTAACCCTATTCTGCTGGAAAAGGGCCCGAGGGTCCAGTGAGTACATGTCTGGGTGCCAAGAAGGACAAGTTCAACCTGGTGCTTCAGGAAATAACTCAAGCACCACCACCAGTGAGGGAACAGCCAGTGCCCAAGGCCAGGGAAAGAGCTTGCACAGGGAGTCAAACAGTCTGACCCTGGACTGACCCACGACTGCATGAAGTTGACCAAGCCATCTGCAGTGACCGCATGGGGCGGGGGTCATGGTGACACCGGATTTCTAGCCTGTCGAGTGCTTTGCTGTGAACACGCGGGGAACAGGCAGGGAGCACTGCAGTCAGTGCAGGTGATGATCGGCCCTCAGGACTGGGACTCAGGGTAAGCGGCATCTGCCCAACCTGTGACAGGAAGACGGGGCAGAGGAGGTGTTGAACAAACATCCCATTTGAACCCAGAGAATGATCCAATGTCTCGAAAAGCCCAGTACTCCAAGGAAAGAGCCAAAACAAAAACCAAAATCCAACATTATCGACCAAGGTCAACAACTATAAAAAGGATGGAAGTTTGAAGGGAGCAGAAAAGGGGTGTGGGGGTGCTGCTGCCGCCTTTGCTAACTGCAGCCCCTCGCCTGTTCACCTAGGAAAACTACAAAGGGCTGCGCGGACCCTGGGACTGCGGTGCTGACCCTCCTCCACAGTGAGATGAGACTCGGGTGGGAGCCTCAGCCCGGTGCTCTCCGGACTTCAGGAGAACATTTTCCTGGGCTTCGTAACCTCCTCCTTTGCTTGACAGAAAAAACCAAACTGTAAACTATGGCTTTCTCAAACACAAAGCCCTATGGGAGTCATCCCCTCAAACCACTTTAGAACCCAAATGCTGGATGACAACCCCTTAGGCGGTAGCAGTTGCTCAATAATGAGAAAATCCAGTGGAAAAATCTTCCCAGAAGCTGGAATCCCATTGAGCAACCGCTCCGACGCTAGTCACATGGCCAGGTGGGCAGTGCAAGTTGCCCCATGCTCTGGGATAAAGCACACACACTGTCCATACTCTCCACTTGCAGGGCCTGAGCAAGGTTATAGAGGGAGGCTTCTGTCCTCCTCACCTTGACACTGGTTTCTGTCCCACATGCATCCTCAGCCCGCGGTTTGTAGTGCACTTGGAAGAGGCAAAGCAGCTTTCTCATGAAGGACCCCAGGCAAGGATTCTTGTTCCCTAGCTCTAATGTAGGGGCAGGGGCAGTATATGGCTATGTGTCTCTGTGTCTGATACTCTCTCCCTCCCTTTCTCTCTCTCTCTCTCCCCCTCTCTCTCTCTCTCCCCCTCTCTGTCTCTCTCTCCCTCCCTCTCTCTCTCTCTCTCTCTCTCTCTCTCTCTCTCACACACACACACACACACACACACACACACTTGTTAAACAGGCCTTTACTTAAGCAAAAATTATACCTTCACAGGGTAGGATGTTTCGTCCTCACTCAGATATTTTCTTTGACGTCTCACCTGTGGTGAGGAAGGTGACTTATCATCACTGTTGTTATCCTATGACATCACGTGTGCTGCCAGGGACTTGTGTTCATCTGAATATAAATTCAGGTGGTTGCCAGATCTCCACAATAGTAACACGACACCCTGGCCCTCCCAGGATGCGGTGGGAACAGGTTGCCTAGAGTAGAACATGGGTCATGAATGGGTCACCCAAAGACTGGAGGCCGGAGAGAGACAGAAAAGGACACCAAGGGAGGTCAGGTGTGGGCCCCAAACCTCGTGCTCTGTGTCTCTCTGTGCTGTTTCCTTTTCTTTTTGTTACTATTTTTCAGCTTTCTGTTGTCAGAAATTGAGAACTGAGAAAACTGTCAGTTGAGAAGCTTTCCTCCTCCTGCTGTGACATTTCTGCTTTGCTGCCGGCTGACCATGGACTGAAGGCTCTGAAACCAGCAGCCAGACTAACCCTCTCCTCCTCTACATTGTGTATGTCAGCAGTGGAAAGATAACTAACCCATGCTTTGTTTTGTTTTCTTATAAAAAGCTCTGGTCAAATATGGAAGTTAAATTTTACCAAATGGTTTATCAGCAACTAGGAAGCCAATTATGTCTATATTCTATAGTCAATGATCTATATTCATCATTTCCTCATAATGAATTATCCTTCCATTGTTGGTCTGAAGTTCTCCTGACCGTAGTGATTTATTTCCCCAAAATATTTTTGGATCCTGTTAGCTAACATTTTAATTTAAACTTTGTACCATTATTCATAAGCATAGTTACAGTTTTACCTTTTTGTTCTTTTTATAATATTTGTATGTCAGTGTTATGTTTAATTTGCTGTATTACCTTCTTTCTCTATGAACATTGTATACATACTTCTTTAAAAGTATTGGTAGAAACCAGTCGGGAAAGCGCATGCCTAAAGTCCCAGCTACTTTAGAGGCTGAGACAAGAGATTGCTTGAGCCCAGGAGTTCAAGGACAGTCTGGGTAAAACGGTGCAAGGTCCCAACCCCTGAAGAAATTGATAGAAGTCTTCTGTGATGCCATCTTTGACCACATTTATTGTAAGAGGTGGGGAGCAGAGAACATAGGCACAAGATGTGTGTGTTTTCTCCCAGTCCAGAAAAGTCGGAACTACAGGAGTTATCACAGTTTCACCTTCCTACCGTCTGCTCACCCGCAGACTGATTCCTACTCATCTCTGAGTTTGTTTCCCAGTTCAGCCTAAAGTCTGAGGTGAAAAGTGTGTAGAGAAGCTCCTGGCCTCAGTCTTACTCCCATCTTCTCATTGTTTCCGCTTGGTTTGGGGCCCACTTTGCAGAGCGTCCTCTGTTGAATGGTGCTGCTCTCCATGGCCACAGCACCTTCAGGATCTTCTCCAGGCACTGTTGATCTCCCCTCACTGGGCAGCCCGCCTCGGTCTCACGGCTCTGGATCTCGGACGGTCCCTCACTGAATCAAAGGTGAAGTTTATATTTCTGGGTCTCGTTCTCCTTGTTTGCAGACGGATACTGAGAAGGAATGTGGCAGATGCCGCCTCTACTCTGCCACCTGGGAACTGGAAACTAGCATCCTGTGGACTTTATAGATGTTTCATATGTTCTATATATTTCTTTTGAATTTATAGATGTTTCTACAAATTTACGTTTATGTAGGAAGCTGAGGATCTGTTTTATCCATAGCATTAAAAAGTATAAGTTATAGATTACTTGGGTCTTTTTATCCATGAATATATTGTCTACTATTTCTCAAATTTCCTCCTCTCCATTATCCCCACTGGATCTTCCATGAACATAGAAAGTTTTAGATGAAAACAGGTCAAGCAGTTCTCTCAACTATATTTTTCAAATCTTTCTTTTTTCTTTTGCATCTCCTGAGAAGTCTCCCTTGCTCAAACTTAACTGCATATTGAAATTACCTGCAGAGCTTTAAAAACTGATGTTACCTGGGCCCATTCCCAGGAAGTCTGATTTCATCAGTACCTGTGCAAATGAGGAAGTGGGAATTTTTTAATCTAATGATTCTAACGTACAACAAAATTTGAAAACCATGTCTCCAGCTCACTAATTCAGTCTTCAGCTCTGTCCACTCTGTTGTTTAGCTCATTCATTGGGTTTTTTCTCAGCAAAATTGAAGTCCAGCAAAATTCTAACTCATTTCTCTTTTCTAGCCATGATTTCCTTTTCAAGTATAAGTTAACTGCCTACATCTGAGAATAGTAATTATACTGATTTCAAAGGACTCTTCTTTTACAGCCATTGACTGTGTTCTCTTATATTCATTTCAAGGTGTACTTTTTATTGCCTTAGATACTCACTGTTTCCTCACAGGTGAGTTATCCTACTTGGGAGAGTATGGTTATTTTCATACTGTTGCTTTCCTCAAATAATGGGGTTCTCTTTGCTCTATTTACAGTACATCTGAGGACTTAGATTGGACCGAGGTGTTTCCTCTGCCCAACAGCACAGCGATGCACATTCCGGACAGCAGCTGAGCTCGCCTCCCATGCCCGTGCTGGTGCCCCGTGAGCCAGGCAGGCTGTGCAGTAGCTCACAGCGGGCAGCTGAGACACAGCCCTGCCTCTGCAGCCCAGCCCAGGGAGAGCTGCTTGCATCAACTCAGCTCACAGGGATAGTTATCTCCCGTATTTCTCCTTGCAGAAATCTAAAGTTATCACAGGTTCTTTTCTACTTCTCTGTTTTTATTTGTTATGTGTAATATTTGTATCTCTATTTTACAAAAGATACCATTGTTCAAAGTTACTTGGTTGGTGATCTTTCCCTCACTTCATATGGCGAAGTTGTTTCATAATTGTTACATATTTTTTCGTACCTTCCGCTACTTCCACCAGATACTAAATATGCTCTTTTTCATTTCTGTTCGTATGCATTTGTGACACATAATAAGTATACTCATCTTGGGGAATGGGTACATACACACATCACATCCTGTAGTAGGTTGATAACTGATGGTCACCTTACAACCCCCAGCTGAACTGAGTGAGTGTGGTGCTGGGTTGGGAGGCTCATCTGAGGACTGCTGTCATCAGCAGAAGAGGCAGACCTGGAGAAGAAGAAGCAGGCTGTTGGAACCTGAGAGAGGCTGTTGGGAGATGGTAGAAGCTGTGGGGAGCTGGCTTTCCTGATGAACTTGGCTGTTTTCATCCGCCGAGGAGCTCGGGACCTCGCTGGCACTGAGAATGGCTTCAGTTCACTTTGGGGAGCTCTGGTCCTCACTTGAGCATCACTTCCTGGTTCTGGAGGGGAAGATGGTACACAGCCGAACTGCTGGAAAAGCTTGCTGTGTTGGCTTCCCTGATGGGAACTCGGCCATCCTGATCATCGGAGGAGCTCGGGACCTCACTGTTGCCTAGGGTGGCTGTAGTACCTTTTGGGGGAGCTCTGGTTCTTCTGGGCATCGCTTCCTGGCTCCAGTGCAGATCCCTCAGCCTGCTAGCACAGATCCTTTATCCTGCTGGCACAGACTTTGTAGATTCCACCACTGACCTTTGGGCCTTCCCAGCAGATCTGTGAAACAGGCCTGCATGAGATATTGTTGTGGGCTCTAGGCCTCCAGGTGGACTCGTGGGAGGCATTGTTATGAGCTCTAGGTATTGGGCTAGATGTAGGACGCTGTCACAGGATCCAGGCCCTTGGCTAGATTCCTTGGTCTATAGTTTGTGGACAGATTTCCTGCACTCTTTTGTATATCTTCCTTTCGGTGACTATTAGAAATAATCATATAAAGTATGTGTCCTGTATTATATTGTTCCCCTTGCAAAAATAACCCCCAAACCAACACACATCTTAATCATTTTACTCCTTCTTCTTAAGGATCTGTACGTCATTCTATACTTGTACTCCCCAGCACACCCTTTGTGAAGCCATCTCTCACTAAAAATCCAAAAATGTCCAGCAGTGCCTTTTGGACACTGGCCTGGCTTTGTCCCTCACAAGAAGCCCAGGCCTCCCTGGACAGCAAGCACTATTCTAATGATGGACAGTCACAGTCGTGGTAATAGGGTGTCACTTCTAGACAGGCCCTGTTTCCAGTCAGTGCTGAATGCCCAGTGTATGGGGTCACAGTAGGCCCACAGCAGAGCAGTGCTGCACGCTGTCTTCACCAGATGGGCCCTGCATGGCAGCTGGGCATCCACCTGACTCTGCCACCTGCAATCCTGTTGCTCAGGGCTCCTAGAACTCTATGAGCCTGTCGGGGAGAAGGGAGGTGCTGGGGACTGAATCCAGAACTTCATGCATGCTAGGTAAGCACTCTACCCCTGAGCTATTTCCCCAGCCCTCTTTCTTTCCTTTCTTTCTTTCTTTCTTTCTTTCTTTCTTTCTTTCTTTCTTTCTTTCTTTCTTTCTTTTCTTTCTTTCAACAAGGTCCCACTAAGTTGGCCAAGCAGGCCTCAGATGTGCGATCCATCTGCCTCAGCCTCTCAAATATCTGAGCCTGCCCAAAAAGTCTTTTTAGTGAAGTCTGCTTCAGCAGCCAGGGTCAGTTGCTTTTGATCCCTGATGGATAAAAGTATTTTGGGTTTTTTGGCTAAAGAGGGGATTCCTTTATGCCTTCGTATCCCAAATTCCACCTCTCACAAGTACATCGAGTATCCAGTGTTTCTGGCCAGTGGCCGATGGACAGAATGGCCTCCCAGTGGCCACATGTGGAGATCTGATATCTGGCATTTCCAGCTCCCCTTTCAGCTGTCATGAGACTGACTACCTCTCTGGCTACTGCCGCTGAAATGTCCCGCTGTGGGTATGTGTGCCTGCTCCTTATGTTATCACAGCTCTGTGAACACCCCGCTCCCTCTCAGCACCACCCCCTCTCTCCAAGGATTCCTTGGAGCCTGTGGGTTTCTAGCTGTTTTGCTGCTGAGCGTGGGAAAGGAGAAAAAGAGGAGGAAGAGCACAACACCAAAAGTTTCCCAAAGCATCTGGTAGCTTGTCTCATGTTCACACTGCTTTGCTGTCCTCTCCCTGCAATCAAACTAGTTTGTCATCACTGTGGGCTGATGCTGGGTGAGTCGGATCTGCAGATCGGTACAGTCCTCGGTGGTCCACCCAGCCCCTGCTGGCACAGACACTCAGCGTGACTGGCGGAGAAAGCCCAAGTGGATTTCTAACCACGACACTGAAAATGCCTCAACCATGCATCAGAGCCACCTCCGCAGCCATGTGTCTTTTCCTTCGCATATGGCTGTGTCTGAAAACCCGATACCTCCCCAGAGGCCTTCCCACTCATACGTGTGTTCCAGCAAGAGGAGACGCTGCAGACCCAGGGGGTTGGAAGCGGTGAGCGCTAGACTGCAGGAAACTATGCTCCAAACGCTCCTGTGAGTGTACGGTTCTCAGTCCACACGCACAGCTTCCTGAAAGCTCTTGTCACGTAGGTCTCCTGTTGATGTGTCGCAGCTTCCTTCCAGGTGGGGAACAGCATGGGTTATGTGACCCAGCTGCCAGAATTGAGGCCTGGCAGGGACAAGCAGGACCTCAGTGTGGTAGGGTAATTCGTGAGAAGCCAGAGTTGCGGCAGCACCCGTGCCTGTCCGTCTCAGCAGCTGAAGTCGCCCGCTGGCTTACTCTCTAACACAGACGGGCTCCTGTGGCCTCCCTTCGGTTCCTTGTCTCTCAGCCGTGATGGGGGGCATTCCTTGGCAGCATACACTTCTCTAGGCATCCACCAAGGTGAAGAGTGAGACGTTACGATCAGCAGAATCTGGAGCAACAAATGATACTGTAGCTTTGTCCTCTAAGAAGTGGCTTATTCTCCAAACAAGATTTACGTTGCTGTGTTCCCTGTCTCCTGGGTCATAAATCTGCATCTCCTGGCAGGACTGGGACATTTTCCCACCCATGGCTGCTCTGAGAGGCTGGAAGTTGTGAGGGGTGGAGAATGTGGGCAAAGTGAAATCACCATGAGGCCTCTTCTTACACTCAGAGGCCAGCACAACACAACCCAGCCTGAGTGTAGGAAATGGTCACCAAGGCAAACTTAGCCCGTCCTCACAACATCCTGCTATGGGAATGGGGCGATGATGGAAATCTCTGGAATGCTAAACACAAACTGGGACACTTGAGAAATTCAGAGCCTCAGAAACTGGTTCCAACCCCTCACTGCATAATCGGAGTGACCCTGTCTCATACTTGACACAAAGGAGAAGGCTGGAGGTAAAGCAGAGGTGCATTCTGGGATGTGGCATGGCGGATACACTTGGGGTTCGTATATCAGATTGTTTAGTCCAGATCTGAGCTCAGCATGTGGAATTAAAAAGAAAAGTGGCTGAGCCTGCAGTTCTGAGTTCTCCGCAGCACAAATCTAGCCAAGGGTCTAGAATGGATGAGAAACAAACCAGTGGCCAGTTGGTTTTGTAACCCAGCTCCACTGCTCAGCCTCTAGAGAGATGCCCAATACCCTGACCTACTCAGAGCTGCTGGGGCTCCGATGTTGAAGGGGGCTCAGAAGTGAGTTTGTGAGTTTCTAAGAAAAATCTGAACCCCATTTGGACCATGTGGTAAACCTCCATTAACAGCATCTTTTTCACCTTTCCTGCAACTGAGAAAACAAGAGACCTCTATTTCTTTCCTTTGAAGTAGCTAAAATTCAGTAGCTATGATCCAGTCTGCATCTTTTTCTGACCCTCAAACTCCCCTGTCCCACAAGGAGAGCCGAAGCCAAGTCTCCGTAGCTAGGTGGTGAAAATGCCAGACAGGCTGTGTTAGGCGGGGTCCTAGAAAGTTGTCCCTGGAGGGGACACAACAAGAAACACTAGCTTCCTGGAGCCAGGGTGGAGACACACAAGTCATTCTTGGTGAGGAAGATGTTAGAGTGAATGTGCCCTATCAAAGCTGGCCATTCCCTAATCCCTAAAGCCTGAGAGTCTGTTGTCCTCTGTGTTAGAAGAGACTCTGAAGATGGACTAAGTTAAGCACTCGAGGAGAAGAGCACAGTGCTGTACACTGAGTTGTCTGCTTGGGCCTAGTGCAACCACAAAGGTGTTTGTAAGAAGGCAAAGGAATTCAGGGGCCTCTAAAAGTCAAGAAAAGCAAGGAACAGGGGCTGGGGATTTAGCTCAGAAGCAAAGCACCTACCTGGCAAGCGCAAGGTCGTGAGTTTGGTTCCTGGTGAAAAACAAACCGGAGAAAAACAAAACAAAACAAAAAGAAAAGCAAGGAACCAAATTCTCCAGAAGCTTCCAGAAGGAACATGGCCTTGCCAATACATTCATTTTTAGATTTTTATCTCCAGAGTGATAAGAAAGCAAATGTGTTGTTTTAAACCCCTAAATTTTTGGTAAATTGCTGCAGCAGCAACAGGAAACTAATACAGAAATCGCCAGTGAGGACTCACAGGACCACGTTGGAGGCCTGGGATGGCCCCTCCAGTGTGGGATGTACTGGAGTCCAGTCCCCCCAGTCACTAGACCATCTGGTATCAGGTGATTCAGGGACCTCAAGTCAACAGGCTTACACATGAGAAGCACAAGGGCAGATGCTTCCACACTGGGGTGGCTCCATGTCATGTTGGACCTCGATGTTCACACCATTCTCCTCTGCTAATCTCTCTGCTCTCTCAGTCATAAGATGACTGCCAAGGTCCTAGATAACCCATCCAAGCACACCACTGCCCAGATTCAGAAAAAGAAGTCATTTCCATTAAATCTCTTGTTGAGAACAAAAAAGCTTCCTCAGAACACCCTCTGTCTTCCTTGATCATTCTCGAGACCAGAAGATGTCCCTTCTCATGTACTTGATTGGCCAGCATTGAACCATG